CCTGCAGGAACAGGAGACCCAAGGGCCTGGTCCTGGGCCGAGGGCCAGTCAGGATTCCAATGGGCAGGCCCTTCAAAAACAACGTCTGTTTCTTTAAATTGTGACAAAACACACAACCATTCTGACCATTTCTAGGCGCACAGTTCAGGGACCCTAAGTACATTCATGTTGTACAGCCAACCCCACCGTCATCTCCAGGACGTTCTCATCTCCCCAGGCTGAGGCTCTGTCCCGAGACGCTCGCTCCCCACCCGTCCCCTCCACCTGCACCCACCCTCCTACTTCTTGTCTGTGAACCTGCCTCCTTCAGGGACCTCGCAGAAGTGCAGTCACCAGCCTCCGTCCCTTTGTGTCTGGCTGATCGCTGCCATCGGGGCTCACCCACGTGGTAGCAGGTGTCAGAGGGCCTTCCTTTTCAGGGCTGAGTAGTATTCCGCGGAAGGTAGGGACCGCGCTGCGTCTCTCCGACCGAGCCCTCCGTTGATCACTAACAGTGGTGACGACGGGCTGTCTGAACCTCCGTTCTGCTGCTCGTGTCTGTGCTCAGCCCGTCTGACCCTCCGAGTCCCTGGGTAGTGACCGTGAGCTCCCAATCACCAGTGAGCAGAGTCCCAGCACCCGGAGGACACCAGCTCCCGGATCTGCACACCCCAACACCTGTCCCGTCACCTGAGCCTGGCCAGAGCCTGGGAAGTCGGGGTGACTGGTGTCTAATTCACAGCAGGGAAACTGAGGCCGCCTAGCTGACCAGGGCTGAGGTTTGCCTCCAGAGCCGTGGGGTCAGGCCCTGGACGTGCTCCACTACCCGGTCCTGCCGCGTCTGTAAGTGCCCACAATGACCGGACAGTTTAGACAGTGATTCGGGTGAGACAGAAATCAGCAATTTGCCATCTGTTGGTGCCTTTCACTTGTGACTCGGCTACCGTGGCTGGGGCAGCTCTTGACCTCTGGAGTGTGGGGCTGACCCCACGCAGAAGGCGGGGATGCCCCAGAGCCGGACGCTCTGCTGGCCTTGGGCCTGCACGGAGGGAGCACAGCTCTGCAGGGTCAGCCTCGGCCCCAGGGCCCCGGGGCATTGGCCTCTGGTCTCCCAGCCCTCCTTTGGGTCTGAGGGATGGGTCACTACCCCAGACCACGCTCCCCCTCATCACCCAGAGAGAAGCACGGACACTGCTCCCAGGAGTCCCTGCCGTCCGAGCACCAGGGCATCCTGGGTGTGCAGCGGGGACCCTCGCCAGCCAGGGCCTCTGCTGCCCCGGCCCCGGTGCCAGACCCGCCTCACTGGTGTTGTTTTCCCACGGAAGCCGCTGGCTTGTACCCGCGCCAAGGCCCCGACCTCATGGGTGATCCATTAAACGTTGGCACGAAACCGACCTCGGGCTGCTCACCAGCCGAGTGTGTTTGTGCAGTTGTTTTGACGACAGTTTGCAGCCCAGAGTGTGTGATGGACGTGCACAGCAGAGGGGCGGGCGCCTGCGAGGGCGGGGGCCCTGAGAGCCAGCGGGAGCGGAGGCTTGGCTGCGCCCCAGCGCTCGGAGCCGCAGGCGGCAGGAGCTCTCAGGGACGAGCCCCCTCGGGGACAGAAAGACCTGGAGGGTCGTGACTTTCAGTGAAGATTGCGAAAGCGTCTTCCACGTGGAGACAGCAGCTTGTTACAATGATTGCTTCTTTAAACACGTGTGCACAGGGCTGCCTGGGAGGTGTTCACAGGCTCAGGCTGTGTGGTATGTGTGTGCGTGTGTGAGCATGCACATGTGCATGTGAATGTATGTGCATGTGTGAGAATGCATGTGTGCATGTGAATGTGTGTGAACATGCAAGTGTACATGTGCACTGTGTCACCATGCACATGCGCATGTGAATGTGTGTGCACGCGTGCATGTGAATGTGTGCGTGTGTGAGCATGCAGGTGTGTGAGTGTGTGTGTGCAAGCATGCAGTGTGTGAATGTGCGTGTGCGAGCATGCACGTGTGAATGGTGAATGTGTGTGAGTATTCGTGTGTGCATGTGCATGTGTGTGAGCATACATGTTTGTGTGTGAGCATGTACATGTGCACGTGTATTTGTGCATGTGTGTGAGCATGCAAGTGTGCATGTGAATGCATGTGCACGTCTACATGTATGTGTGTGCATGTGTGTGCATGTGTGCACATGTGTGCACATGTGCTATTAGGAGTCTGTTTCTGCTTAAATACAGAAAGAGACCAGCAAACAACATGTTCACATAGGACGTAAAGGCAAAGCAGGTACAGTTATAAGTGGTTTCCCAGGTTCCAAGGGCTTATTGGGGGTGGACGTCTCGTGAACACCGAGAGCATGGGAACCAGCATTCCGTGTCTCATCCACTCTTCAACTGGACTCCAGCGTCTGTGCCCTCGTGACGATGTCACATTTGACGTGCATGGTACTATTTCTAAGCCAAGAGCCTCCGACCTGGCCAGCACTATCAGGTTGGCTGACACTGTGTCCACCTGGTGAAGAAGGAAACGGGCCCAGACCGCCCCAGGGCTGTGGCTCGAGCACCCGGAGCCGGGTTCGGGCTCAGCAATGTGGGCGGTGCATCCAGAGTGGACGGCCTTGTGTCCGAGGGCACTCTGGCTGGGGACAGCGTCCTGATCACCTCCCAGCACCTGCCTCTTTGCATCGTCTGTCCATCTGCCTTTCAGTTTATGAGAGCGACCTCAGTGTCCACGTACGGCTGAGATGTTGTCTTTTAAAATAAATTTACTTAAAGTAGTTTTCCTGTTCCAGATCTCATGCAAGTGGGATCAGAGGGTACGTGCGTGTGTGTCTGGGCTCCGTCACCCTGGCCTTGGAGCTGGGCTCCCCTCTTCCTGCACCGTGGTCGCTGAAGGCGCAGGTGGCTGGCCTGGCCTGCTGTCTGGGCGGTGAGCACAGTGTGGCCGGTGGGCAGTGATTCCGGTGCCCGGCCCTGCATGAGTTCCTGACGAGGTCCTCCGAGGGCCCGAGCCCGAGTCCCGGGCTGAGCCGGGCTGGGGCGTTGGAGGAGCACCGTCCACTGTGGCCGGACGGCCTTCTGCTCTCAGCTGACGATGCAGACAACCAAAAGGTCCATTTTGCTTTTGATTTTGTGGAAAAATGTTTAAACATAAAAAAGTTCGAAGGAAAGTGGGTCATTTTCTCTGTGCCCCCCCCGAGCATGGGCAGTAACCTCTCTTTCCCGGTCCTTGGGTCTGTGACCTGGTTTATTTTTAGAGCTGGGTCAGAATCAATAACAGAAATTTGGGGAATATGATCTGGAGTTCTGGCAAGTGTACTTTTCCAGCGCAGAAAATTCCAGCTCACTGTCCCCGGAGGACGCCGGAACTGCTCCAGAGCAGCGCGTGACTCCCAGGATGTGCAGGTCACGCCGTCGCCGCGTCTCAGGACACGGTGGTGCTGGTGGGAGCCCCGCCCGCCCCGTCCACTGCCGGTCCCCCCCCCCCCCCCCGTGGGGCTGGGCGTCTGGGTGTCTCGTGCTGAGGCCGGGCCAGAGCAGTCGCAGGACGGACGGGTGTGCGTCTGTCAGGGAGACATCAGCTGCTGCGACAAAGAGCCCCCCGACTAGGCAGGTGGAGGAATGTGAAGGGTCTGTGGGTCCTGGGGGGGCTGGGCCCATGTGGCCCCTCCATTTGGGGGCTCTGCCACCAACGTCCTGTAGCCACCTCACCTTCCGCCGCCGCGGTGGGTATTTCTATCAGTGGGGTTCTGGAGACACCCGTGAGCAGCCCTGAGCACCGCCTGGCTCTCAAAGGCGGACTTGGTCTGCGTGTGGGGTGCACTGGGCCAGGGGTCACGGGTAGAAAGGTGCAGGTGTGTGGACACCCAGACATGTCACGCCTGTCACAACGGCTCACGTACTGGGGTCCCAGGGTGGCCAGAACCCCTGTGCTCCCCACAGCCCCCCTCCACCGTGGCCCTGAGCCCAGAGCTGTGCCCAGGGCTGCCCTGGTGGGTGGGCCAGGGCTCCGGTCCTCTGGGCTCTTGTGTAGGCCGAGCCTCGGCTGGTGGAGACAGTGACTGTGGACCCGTCCTGCTCTATCGATGGGGGCGTCACGAACACCCGGTGCCCGGAGCAGGGCCAGGGGGTTCAGCCTAGGGGGGTCCTCAGGTGGCACCGTGGGGTCCCCTGGCCCGCTGTCTCCCAGACGGTGGCACGGTGGGCGTTGTACATTAACCAGGCAGGGCCGTCGGCATGCAGGTGGGGCGAGCCCAGTGAGCCGGCCGCTTGGAAACGAAGTCACGTTTGCAGAGCTGAATGGGCAGCGGGCGTGCCCAGACGTGCCCTGGCGCTTCGGTGTCCTGGGCTGTGAAGGGGACGCGGCGCCCCGGGGCGGAGGGTGAAGGGAGCTGTGACCGGCTGGCGGCTCAGAATTCAAATCGGGAGGCACCGGAGACCAGCGGCGAGGGGCTCAGCTGAGGGTGACACCGTGTGCGCTGGGCCGTCCGCGCGCCTCAGCGAGGTTCCTGGTGACGAGGACACGCAGTCTCAGGCTCGCAGATGGGGGACACCCCACACGGCGGGCAGGGCCTGGGGTTGGACCCCCCCAGCACCAGGGTCCCCCCTGGACCCCCTGCCCCAGGCTGCCCAGCCACATTCGGGGTCACGCGCCCCAGGCTCTGTCTCGTCCCCACAGCCCGTGTTAATCATTGAGCTACGAGGTCTGCTGAGGGCCCTGTGGGGTCGGCAGGGGTCACATACCCACGAGCTCTCCCGCTCGCTGGGCAGGACGCTCTCCCCGTCCGAGAGTCAGCGGAGGTCAGCTCTCCCTGCCGCCACCACTGCCGCCCACCAGGACAGGGCGCCGGCTGGGAGGACAGGTCTCTGGAGGCCCCTTGGCCGACCACAGCGCCGCGCTGACACCCCACCCGCTCTGTCCTCGAGGAGGGAAGCAGGGAATCCAGCTTGGGGGGGGGCATGTGTAAGGGAGCTGGGGGGAGGGGAACCCCTGATAGATGACCTCCAGCCAGCTGACCCTCACGTGTCCCCTTGTCCACAGGGCACGGCCTCTGTCCTCCAACGCCGGTCCCCAAATGAGGAATATGTGGAGGTCGGGCGCCTGGGACCCTCTGACTACTTCGGTGAGTGGGGAGCTGCTCCCACACAGGGCCCGGGGAGGTGCAGGGTGGAGGCCCGCGGGGCCCCAGGAGGCGGCCCAGCCTGGTGTGAGGCTCTGACCCACTGTCCTGGCCAAGGGCTGTCCTCGGGGGCACAGGACCCCCAGGGCGGGGTGGACATGGTGCTGAAGTTGGAGGTCAGCCCACTGAGGAAGGGTCGTGTCCTCAGGGGGGATGCGCTGGTGCTGACTGCTCACTGGTTCATTGGGCTCAAATGTAGCCAAGGGCCCTGGGGTGTGGGTGGTTTTCCCCAAACCGGCAGCCCTGCTACAGGCCAGGCCCCTAACTGCACCCTCTCCGGCCCGCAGGGGAGATTGCGCTGCTCCTGAACCGGCCTCGGGCTGCCACGGTGGTGGCGCGGGGGCCCCTCAAGTGCGTGAGGCTGGACCGGCCCCGCTTCGAGCGTGTGCTGGGCCCCTGCTCTGAGATCCTCAAGAGGAACATCCAACGTTACAACAGCTTCATCTCCCTCACCGTCTGAGCCCCCTGCGCCCAGGGCGCGTCTGCGCGGCTGCACGGGCTGGCGTCCAGCACGCGGGGCTGGCCCTCCCTCCAGACTCGTGTTTGGAATTAAACAGTCACCTGTGCACTTTGAGAACAAGCCAACTAGGGGCACCCCAGGCCGAGGAGGTGCCGCCGTCCCCCACCTCCCACCTCTCCGTGCTCTGTGGACTCCCCGCTCCTACCGTTTCCCGGGGGGTGCAGCAGTGTGCTCACCCTGTGGCCGAGGGAAGGATGAGGCCCCGGCCAGCTGGTCACTGTCCGGTCACCCTTCTCTCCGGAGCTGCTCCGGCGGCCACCGGGGTCTCGGGGCTCTGTGACGTGGGCAGCGATGTCCGAGGGGGTGTCCCGCAGTCCCCTCCAGCTGGTGGGGAAGTTGAGTCTGAAGCAGGAGAGGGTCCAGCGGGTCTTGTTGAAGGGGCTTCAGGGTCAGGAGAGCCTCCTGGAGGCGGGGCCCCGGCTGGTTCTGCGTCCGGCGCAGTGACCCCACGCAGGTGTGCCGGGCGGGCGTGGTGCTCCCGTCTTGGGAGGTCCACGTCGGCTGACCTGGGCCCCTCAGTGTGCCAGGCAGGTCCCGCCATCGCCTGCTGGGCCACAGCGCCCAGGGCAGGAAGGGAACTCCCTGAGGTCAGGGCTCTCCAAGACAGGTGCGCTGTTCTCGCGGGGCCCGGATAGCGGCTGCTTGTCTGGGGGGGGGGGGGCAGAGCAGCTCCAGGAGACACTGAGGGAGGGGGGGATCTCCTCAAACAGCCTGGCGCTGTCAGAACCGGACTCCCCTGATCAGGAGGCCTTGCCCCACACAGCTTGTGGTCTGAGCTCAGGTCCCCTGGACCCTACACACCTCGTTGTTGTCGATTAAACCCCCCGTGAACGTGTCTTCAGCCGCCTGAGCCCGCCCGGCCTGGGGCTTGGCCCGTGGTCGCTGCTGGTGACCGAGGCAACTGAAACAGCGCCATTAGCCCACCTCTGCTCCTGCCCGTGCGGGTTGGGGTGCCCGGCACATGGCGCCCCAGCAGCCGGCCGTGGCTGTGGCCGGCTCACGCCATTCACTGTATCTTGATGTTCTGCGTTGCATGTGGTATTAAGTGTGCCCCCTCCCCCTCGGCGTGCCCTGAGCCCCCCCAGAATGCTCTTCCTTCCGTGTTCATTGTGATAAAACATCCGTCACATAAAACTTACCTTCTCGCCATTTCTCAGTGTCGTTTGTGGGCATGAAGTGTGTGTTAACAGGAGACTGTACGGTGTTCTCAGTGTGGAGCCTCGAAACCGCACACTTCACGTCGGGCGTGGCCCCGTGCGAGTGCTCCCAGCGTCGGCACCAGCGCCCCGTGGTTGTGCTGTGTAACCCAGTGGGCCTCGGAGCCGGGCAACAGGACCGCTCAGCCGGTGGTTGGACTCGGGTTCTGGCCGCCATCCGGACCAGGGCGGGGCTGCGCCCTCTGAAGGCTGACCGTGGCCAGAGGCCCCTGCGGCTGTTGGCGGGAGGCCTCGGCTCCTTGCCACGCGGCCTCTCCTGGGCTTCTTCACAACGTGGCGTGTGGCTTCCCCAGAGCAGGTACCCAGAGAAGGGGGTGCCGTGGCCAGTGACCTCGAACCCACACACCATCACCTTCTTGTTAGCGACCGGCCACCAAGTCCAGCCACACGCGAGAGGAGGGCTGGCCTTGTCCTCTGGGGGAGGGTGTCAGAGTCTGGGGCAGCCCTGAGGCTGGTTTTGCCCCCGGGTCCCCTGCCCCAGGGCTCCGGACGTGCCTCTGAGGTCACAGCACGGTGGCCGCCCAGCCATCGTGGGGGATGAAGCCTGAGGCTGGAGGAGTGTCCCCGGTGGCTGTCCACGCCTCTCCCCTCCTGGCGACCTTGAGGGTCGACTCCACCCTCCCCTGAAAGTCTGGGCCTGGCGGGCTCAGCGACGGGGCCCGTGAGTCGACGTGGGACCAGACGGGCCACTGAAGACACGCAGGCCTGTGGGCCAGTGCGGACGCCCTTGGGACGCCGAGGGGGTGGTCCTGAGCCCGTGAGCTTGGGCACCTGTCACAGCGGACACAGGAGCTGGGCAGAGCCCCGAGCTCCACCCTCAGATGCCTACGGGACCACCCTGAGCGGCTGCCGCCTCCTCTCCGGGCGCCCTGGGGTGCTGGCGGGGGTGGGCAGGGCACCCTCTGTGGCCCCTGTCTGGCTGGAGGCGCAGGAAGCCTCGGGGGCTGTCTCGGGGGGAGGCCTGGGCCGCAGCAGCATCCTCCCCAGCTGGGCACTGGGCCTGCCCCCTCTGGCACCAGGCGGGCACAGACGCCGTCTGTGGGGCTGGTGAAAGCCCGCTGTGTCCTCCTGAGACGACAGACCGGGCCATTGTCCAGCCCGTCTCGGTCCCTGGGCAGTGCCAGGGGCACTGGAAGGAGCAGACCTGGGAAGGGGCCACGTGGCGGGGCCGCTGTCCACCCTTCGTGTCCCGGGGTCGTGGCTTGGTCCCCGTTCCTCTCAGCTGCTGGGGGGGCCGTTGGGCACACCCTCATCTCGAGGCTGCTTCCGGAAGGATTGGGGTGTGGTGGCGGCAGCCCGGGGCTGTGACCCCGGAGGGACGGTGTGGGGCCTGGTCACTCACCTGTGGTCCCCGGCCTCCCAGGGCCGGGCACTGAGTCCGTCCCAAAAAGATTTGAATTAAAAACAAATAAAAACAAAACCAGCACATGGGTTGCAGGAGGGAAATTTTGGGGAATCCAGGGTCTGGCTCACGCCTCCCACAAACACCAGGACAGCCACGGGCGGAGAGTTCTAGAGCCAACCCAGGCAGGGTCCAAGCCGGGGAGCGGGCACACGGGAACTGCGGGCGTCGGCCTGTTCGCTCTCACAGACGGGTGCAGCCACGCGGTCACCTCCCGCGCCACCGCCCATCACCGTGGTGACACAGAAATGGCGATGAGCCCGGCAGGGGACCACGGGACGCTGGGGGACGTCAGCGCTTCTTTAAAACAAAACCTGAGCCCTGGCCGGTTTGGCTCAGCGGTTAGAGCGTCGGCCTGTGGTCCGGAGAGACCCGGGTTTGGTTCCCGCTAAGGGCATGTACCTCGGTAGCAGTTTGTCCCCGGCCCTGGTTGGTCGTGCGGGTGGCAGCCACTCGATGTGTCCCTTTCACGTCGATGCTTCTCTCTCTCTTCCTCTCTCTCCCTCCCACTCTGTATGTACAAAAAAATGGAAAAATGTCCTCGGATGAGGATTAAAAAAATAAAAAAGAAAAAATAAAACAAAACCCTAACTGGACACTCCTCTCCCACGACCTGCTTGTCGGGACACTGGTCCCCGAGAACCGAAGATGTGCCCACACGAAACCTGTGTGCGAAGGGTCAGGGCCGCCAGGACCCGCGGGGGGTGAGCCCGTGGTCCCCGCCCTGGGACGCTGCTCGGCCAGGAGGCGGCCCGCTGACCGCAGCAGCCGGTGGGCCCGAGAATGGCGCCGTGTGACCACCCGGCCTGGGAATGAGTCGCAGGAGGACGATGGGCGCGCTGGGAGGGGCCGGGCGGGGCTGTCTCGGGCCCCTGCCCGTGGGCACCTGCCCTGGGTCGGTGCCGTGACGGCGGCGGCATCGGGCCAGGTTTGTGAGTGTTGGCGCTGAGGGACCTGGGCGAAGGGGCTGGTTCTCTGTTTCATCTCAGGGAAGCAGGGGAGCGTGCCCAAGGGAGCAGATGCCGGGCTGAGGAGGGCAGCGGGGCCTCCCCTCCCCTCTCTGGAAGGCCTAGAAATACACCCCAAATGCATTTGGAAGGGAACACAGGGTCCTCCCTGACCTGGGCGGGGGCAGGGGCCTGGGGAGCCCGGATGGGTGCATTCGATCGCTCCTTCACCCCTTCACAGTTCCTGTGCCCCTCACACCGGTCAGGGGGGGGGGGCTTCCTCGGGGACACCGATTCCGGGGGGCTGGGACTCTGGCCAGAGGATGAGCCCTGTGCTGAGTCGGCCGGTGGCCATGGGGGTGCTCTCGCTGTGGCCTGTCCGGCTGCCCTGCGTCCCCCATCCAGCTGTGCCGGCCTGGGCCTTGGGCGCCTGTGCCCCTGGCAGGCTGCCCGTCTGTACAGGGGGGCGCTGGTGCACACACCAGCCGGAGGGGCTCGGCGGTCCTGCCGCATGGCGAGACCTGCAGGGATGCCCTGCCGGGGCACCCCGGCCTCACCCGCCGCCTGGGGCGGCTGAATCAGAGGGGGCGGTGACTCACTCAGGCAGGGCATTTCCCTCCCGGCCCAGCTGCCAGGCTGGGGAGACAGGCAGGCCCCACAACAGGGACCGGGGCGGGGTGGCCCCTTGTCCGGAAGGCCCTCACGGTGGCCTGGTCTGACCTGGGGTCCTGGGTCCTGCCTTCCAGAGCCTTCTCATGACCACAGGGGTTCTGGGCCCCGACCCTCGATCCAGACAGGCCTGAAGGGGCCTCGGCAGAGCGAGCGGGTCCCGCCCCCTTCCAGGAAGCCTGGCCCGGGGTCACCAGCCTCGCTGACCTCGCTCCCCTCAGAACTCTCTCCTCAGGGTGTGAGCACAACAGGAACTTGGTGAGTCAACTTCTGTGCTGGCCACGCCGTCTGGGCTGACCCCTCCTCCCGGGGTCCTGGGCTCAACCTGGTCTCCAAGGGCAGGGAGCCTCCACTTCGCTTCTCAGAGACCCGGGGCCCCTCGCGTGCCTGGGCCCCCAGAGCTCTTCGTGGGGTCACGCAGCAACCGCGGGTCGTGTCTCTGGGCACCGGATCTCCCAGTCCTGGGCTTGGAGCGGGGTCCGCCTCTGGGACAGACTGTCAGCCACTGGAGACCACCCCGGCCTCCGCTGGAGAATCAGGCCGGTGTACATCTGCCACACACTGGACAGGAGCCTGGCCACCCCTGACCTCCGAGCCGGGACCGTGCCGGCCGCGGGCACCCAGGTGTCCAGCCGGCCGGCCTCCGTCCTGCCCGGCTCAGGAGCTCTGTGCAGCAGCAAGTTGCTTCCCTCCTCTGAGCCCCAACTGTGTCGTCTGGGAAGTGGGGAGACTGACGCGTCCCCCCTTCCTCTCGCGGGCTGCCCTCTGAGGGTGTGGACAGGGGCACCTGGGTGCTGCGCAGGGGCCCCCTCTATGGAGGGGACAGATGTGTCCCCGCTACACGCAGCTCATGGTTTGTAACTGCTGTGAACTAGAGGCAGAAACACCCGCTGCGGACCCCGCAGCCGCAGCCCAGGACTGGGCCCCACCCAGGTGTCTGGGCCTCTGCCGGGCGGTCCCCACGCACCTGGACACAGGCCCGCAGTTTGCTGGGAGAAGTGGCAAAGCATCCCAGTCAGGGTCTAGAATCACCGCTCCCTCGGTTCAGGGTCCGAGAGCGCATGGCCCCGGGCCGTCTGTGTCCTCGGGGTGCAGACCCCACCTGCTCACTCCAGGGCCCAGCTCCCCGCACAGGGACCTGTCCGCTGTGCACAGCTGCCCCCCAGCCCACGCACACAGTGGACACAGCTGTCTGTGGAGCGAATGCAGGATGGACTGAACACACACGCAGCCTCCCAGGGACGGCCTGGGTCCCAGTGAGTCGGGCTGTGGGGCAGAGGAACCCCAGGGGGTTCGCCGGGTGAGGAATCTGACGGCTGGAGACAGGGGCTTTCGCCAGGTCCCGGGAGGGGGCTGCCAGAGCCAAGGCTGGGACCCCAGCCCGGCCCCAGGCCCCTGTAACTCCTCCACCT